AATTCTGTTCATTCGATGTCGTTGATGAAGCACATCCACAGCTTGGGATACTGTGGAGATCTGTGGGGATCTGTGGGGAGTGTTTTGTCCAAGACTGGAAGAGGTGACGTCCAATTATCTCGTTCCAAAGGGTGTGGGATTTCTTTCACTGATCAAGTTTAAACTAACTATCCAAATGCACATTTTGTGAAGGAATGCCTAAATGCACCGCAAGAAGACACATTATGGTCCAAACGGCGTACTGGAGACATTCTGCGAAGCCAGGGCTCCGCTCGCCCTCCATGAGGATCACGTACATCGTGCAGATGTCAGGCAGGAGGACCGTGTGAAGCGCATGAAGCCCATGCAGGCGCCGAGGGAGACTGTGCAGGAAGACTACTTGAGTGCTGGTAAACAGGACGGACAAACTTCCAGGTCGGCTATGGTTCTTCTATGGATGCTTGGATCGTCTTGGATATGTCGATACAATCTTATCAGGGAATGTCAGGGACTCCAAGGAAAATTTGTAACATTTCACGATTGAAGATTTGGGAAGAACTGTACACTCACTCAAGGTCCAAGAACCACCCCTTTCTGGAAGTGAAATCTAGATGTCAACTCCAGTGGACAACCTCCGGCTTCAACGCCCCCCCGATCCAGAGAGGAAGTTTTCACACGCCTTTCTCCACTTTCTCCACATTCCTTAAATCGATCCGAGCGGCGCAGATCGCGCACGAGCGATTCGTGACGGAGATGGAACGAGGATATGCGCCTCGACGAAGATCGATACCGGACGTCAGACTGGGCCAGGTCAGACGAGTCCGAGAGCGCACGCATGCCGCAGATCGCGCACACTTTACATGGCAAACAATACGTTGCACAACACACTTAGTGTCTTGAACAGTCTTGCAAAGATTAGAATTACCACTATGTCACTATGTCACACTGGGCTATAGTAGTGCAAAATGTTCATTTAGCTGCAATATTCGCAATTTCACAATACACTTCCCAGCGGCACACCTGTACCAGGCAGATGTTTTGTTCTCCCCGCACCTGCAAGTAATAAGGGCTAAAACATCTATATAAAAACTATGTGTGAGCATACCAGGGCTACACGACACAACACCAAGAAGGGAAGGATGGCAATACCAAGAGGAGCCATTTGACTGTGAAGAGGTCTTGACATTTCAAGCCTTCAGCAATAATATATACATGTTTTTTGTTGTTGATCTAGAGAGAGAGATCCATCAGGGCATGTTGATTATCTGGTGTGCTGGTCATCCGTGGCAGCATGCCAGAGGATCCAACATCGATGACAATGGGATGTGGATCAATGACATGTTTGAGTATGGGCAACTTAAAGCACCATACGGCTGGTGAATTAGCAAGGAGGGCATTGGAATCATAGGTTGTGGCAGAGGAAGAGCACGCGTAAGCTGAGGTATGAGTGAGGGTGAAGAGGCATTGTGATGTTTTCTCAGAAATCCAACAACATGGGTAACATGGGTAGCATCATCCTGGAATGGGCGGAGGAGTTTTTTTTGTGCCACAGGGATTGCTACAGCTGCGGCGAGGATGCTATGAAGACTGCGTTCCTACCCCATCAATGGAAGGATGTGGCCATTAGCCAGCAGGAAGGGTGCCAACAAGCTATCAGCCAAATCCTCGTCTAAAGAAGATGAGCTTTTTGCGAAGCTCCATAACACAATGGAAGCATTGGTTGCATACGTGAAGGATTAGGAGAACAAGAAGCAGGATGAGAAGGTCAAGCGCCAACCCAGATTGGTCTGGGAAGTGGCGGGTGGTATCAGAAGTGGGAGGTGGAGTTTGAGATGTTTTTGCAGCCGCACGCCGCAGATTAATTAAGCCACTTCAGAAAGTTGATTGGGCACACCCAGCATGATCAGCATGGCAGAGAAATCGCTGATATTGGCAATACAGAGAAAGCCATCAGAAATGTCATGGATTGATTGCCTAGAATGCTTGCGGGGGCATTGGGTTCTCCTGGTGCTGGACATGAGGCGACAGATTGCGGGGGATCAATGGATCAGGTAGGCATTAACGTAGCCGTATATTTCTTTGATTCAAGACCCCGAGACTTGCAGATTTGCGATTGAGATTATAATCATATTGAATGCTTTCCTGCAATGGGGGTTGGTGGATGAGCTTGCGTTCCCAACACAATGCTTCGGAAGAATGGTAAAACTTAAGCCAGATCCTTCAACAATTGCAAAAAAAACGCAGGAAAACACGGGCCTTCACAGCGTCCCGCTGGCCTTCACAGCGTCCCGCTGGCCTTC